TGTACACAAACTCGACATTTTAGATAATATACTTTACTTAACCAGTGTTTTGGTTATTAAAAATGCACCTACGTTTCACAGTACCCGAATAGATGAAAATTTGTTTTCTGGCTGTATACTTTATTTGAAACGTTGTAGTTTAATTCTCGGTATACATTAAAAAAAAAATTTTTTTTTAGTTGATTTCTTGGGTGACTTCGATTGCAAGAGGAAGAAAACACGACCGGTAATATACAGGGTGATCAAAATAACGCAAGACATATATAAGATATATATATATATGTATATAAATAAAAAACAAAAACAAAAAGCAAAACAAAACAAGTTTCCGATTAATATTAACATTTTACCAAGATAACGAGTGTTACGTTATGTCGATTACTCACTATTTGTTTAATCTTACCAAATTAAACCGAGCTCCGTTCAAAATCGTTTTTTGATTGTAAAGATTAATCGTTGCTTTCGGCGGGTATATCGCATAAATTATGTATTATAATAAATCACCCTTCCTTCCAAATTACTCACCCACAACGACTGCCTACCCGCTCTATTCTCCGTTTAAGTAATTTTAAAAAGGGGTGTTTCTTTTCCGCGCCGACGCTTTAAACAAATCAACCCCCCCCCCCCCCCCCCCTCCCCCCTCGCCGGTCGGTCGTATGTGCTGTAATTCGTATTATTACTAATGTCGCCGTCAACGAATTCGCGTCCGTCGGTCGCACTTAACGCAACTCGTCAACAAAATATTACTGCGCAAAATGTTCGCTCGTGTACACATACGTATAAATATTATCCCAATTGCGTTTCACCGTACATTAATGTAAAGTCGGTCGGACGGTCGTGCCCGCCGCATCACGAGGTTAACGCAATGTTAATTGAAATATTTTCAATTTATATTTTTGGTCGAAACGCAAAACAATTCAATTTATTCGCCAATTCGCGCGACTGCGGCAACCTCGTACATTAATTACTATATAAACAGCGGACCGTAGACAGTCACGCGCGGAATTCTGTGTACGAGAATTCCTATGGCAATTGTCAAAACCGTTTTCGATAATCAATATTGTAAAAATCACGCGTTTCGTATGTAGAAGGTCCGTCTCCGGCAGCGGCGGCGCTGCCTTAATAAACGCGGCCCGCATCGTAACAAACACATTCATTTGTCGAGATGATATTCTGTTTGAGTTTCGTTTAGGTCGTAAAAAAAAAAAAATAATAAAATTGGAGCCGATAAAAATACCTTAAATAATCCGAAAATAATTTTAAAAAAAAAAAAACGATTCGCTCGCGGTTATATTACATTGTTATTCGTCCTTTTTTTTTTTTCTTTTTTAGCCGAGTATTAACACAAAAACGAGCTTTTTAATTTTTAGTTTTATTTTTTTTATTTTTAAACTGTCGAAAACCTAGAAAAATGTTCCGAATATATAATTTGACAATAATATAATAATATATAATTTGGCAATAAGATCGTAAAACAAAACGTTTTTTTACTGGTACATACATCGGTGAAATACTCTGTATGTGTTTACTACTCCGTAGTATGAGTTGCAGTGTCTACAGAGTTTCAATCGTAGTAAAATACATTTTATAATACGTCCAAACAATGCGTTATTAATTTACACAGGCCCACCGGGACGTCAGGAATTTGGTGTTAGAGTTTTCGGTGTGTACAATAATACGTGTTTCTATACGTAATTTGTATAGTTTTCCCTTTTTTGATTTGAATCTCGAAGTTCGGCGTTACAATAATGCTTACGGTTTTGCAATATCGATCACACAAAAGTCTCAAAAGTTGTAGTGAACGCGTAATGCATATGGTATCATCGCAAGATAAGTAATAAGTAAAAAAAAAAAAAAAAAAAAAATTATACTTTCAAGAATATTTATTATTTACATGATGCAAGCGTAAGCCACTGTATAGAAATTGAAAATTGAAAATCCGGCTTCGAGATATCGTCAGACTCACTCCGTCAATGTTCAGAATTTCTGATGTTCTGATATGTCATGGGTTGGTTTGGGATGTAGAAAAAAACGTTTCGACTAACGTGTAGCACCGATATAATTTCTCTAGTGTTGTTTTACCAAGGGTTAATGTGTTCACCGGTGATATTTTACCTGTTGGGAGGGGGGGGGGGGGGGGTAAATGTTCGAGGTAAAAACGGACGGAAGATTGTTAAAGTATACGCACTACGTACGTTTTGGCGCATCGAAAAATCGATCGTCGACTTAACACGTTCCTCGAAACGCGTAAAATGTGCACTTTTCGTACACTGGTATACGATTAATGATTATCGTATATTATACAGACATTTTCGCGGTTTGGCTGATTAATAATGTTTTTGTTGGGAATTCAATTGCTCGTTGTTTACTGATTGTACACTCGCGCGATATAATGAAATTGCAATATAACAGAGCATGGTGGATGTCAACAAATTGCGAAATGATATTATTGCAAAAACGCGCTTATCTTCATTCGTTTACCATTAAAACAGAATATACGAACCCGATGCGTTACGGTATTTTTCGATAAAAATCGCCAATGACACGTTTTCAAAGATGCGACCGTTGCGGCTGCGTTAACATTGTCGGGTACTGAACGGTATCGCCCAGTATATTGATGACGATACACTGTTGTTATCGTCGCATATCGCTTTGTGTGCAGTGCGACGTTACACGGAAGAGAAACAGAACCGGAATGTTATTTGAGACCGTATTGTATAACGTCGTTACCAAGATAGCCTTTTATGGCACAGTTCGATAATTCGATAATTTTTAATATTGTACAGCGTTGCGGAAATAATAAAAAAATCTTCGGCCATTAGAGAACAAACGTTGTGAAACAGAGGACGTCGTCCGAATGCAGCTACGCGGGAGGTGCCATTCCGCGTTATAATACAATTCACAAAATAGATAAAAACGTGTGTGTTTTTAAATGATTTTCCACCGATTTCCCGTGCAGCTGCATTTTAGGCGCTATATAGTGTATGACATTCAAAATAGGTAACATAACGAATAACGTTGCCTGTTTTATGATAATCTTGTATCGTAGTCCGTACTCGACAAAAACCAAGTACGGTGAACTGTTCGAGATTCAACACGAAAACATGGTGGTTGATAAATTGAAAAATATTGATGGACATTTCACACGGGCCATACTAATACGCATTATTTTTTCGAACACACATTATTGATTATCGATTTATAATAAATTAGCTGTCCCGCGCCCGGCGTTGCCCTTGCCAATTTGTATTTTTTTAAATTTTTTTTTACCCATATTCATTTTCGGTTTTGACCGTGTCAGAATCGAATGAAAACAAATAAGTGTTCTATTGTGACATTTTCACAGCGTAAATCAGAGGCGTCCAACCTCTTTTGTGAAGACGAATTTTTTTTTTTTTGTCTACAACTTTTCTACTAGCAACTCTGCTCCGATGTACACTTTTTCTAAAATTAAATTTTCCAACCGATGAGGTACTCCAAGGGGGTAGTTTTTTGATTTTCTTATGAGTTTTCTCAATAAATGGGGGGAAAAAAAACGGGATTATTTACTAAATGTAGGTATAATATTATGTAAATATAATGTTGACAATGCAACACCATCAACTGAACTCCGCTTATAATCGTCTCTTCGTTAGCAACGGTTCATCGTTGCTTGTACACCGAATTACCTTCCCGACTTCCCATCTACAACAGTGGCCTGCCAATCGTGCGAAGTTGCCCGGCCTTTTTTCAGTTACAATTTTCAACGAAAACATGTTTAATAGATGTCCGCTCATAACTTCTCACGTTCCGTTTGTGCGTCACAGTGTCACAGCGGTACCACTCGTAGTGTATTAGTGTTTCCGTCCTTTTAACATTTTTACTTTACTAAGTAAATTAATAACTGCGTACATGCATATACATATATACACATATGATTTTTGCAGGGTACCTATATTGCGCAGACCATTGTATCTCATTGATTATCAAATCGGAGATCAGGCCTTTCAGCAGTTCTTGTTTATTTTATATTGGCGTGACATTTAATCCCTAGCTAGGAGCTATGTAAATATTTACAGCCGCGAACAAAACCAGTTCAAATATTAAAAGTGCTTTTTACCCCATACACAAGTCGGTTTGGTTTTTTTCCTTTTCAACAATACGTCTCGAGCGCTTATTCCTGGGCTTGTAATATTTCGTCGCCGAGCGCCGTAATACAAGTCCGCGAACCCTAATTTACGTTTTTTTTTCGATGCGCGTATCGGCCGTCACAATAAACGCGTGCACTACGCGGTGTGAACGCATCGCTGCGTTCGCTGCGTTCCGTCGGCGCGACGACCACTCGGCTCTGTAGCAGGACGTGTAATCATAATATGCAACTGTATGATGCAACACCTAAACGCGTAAACCTATTATAATAATTTTATACGTTCGCGCGTGCATACAACACACGTGTGTAATACAGGTATTTGTGTTTTCTTTTTCTAGATGTCCGTTGACCAGTTCGCGCGTCGCGGTCCTTCTTTTTCTAACACTGCTCATTCCGCTTATACTGCTACTACTACTACTACTACTACTACTTCTTCCTCTTCTTCCTCCTTCTACTCCTCCTCGTCCTCTTCTTCTTCTTCTTATTCTTATTCTTCTTCTTATTCTTATTCTTATTCTTCTTCTTCTTCTTCTTCTTCTTCTCCTGCTTGTTGTTCTACCGTTATCGCGACTACGACTGCGGCCGCTGTTCCGCCGACCGTTCTGGTTTTGACCGGTTAACGGCCCGTAGAAAACTTTACAGATCCCGACACGCGCGCGCGCGCGCGCGCACACCATGGAGTACACGTGGACGTTGGTGTCGAACAACGCCGACGACCAAGGTTTGGGCGGCGAAACGAGTCTGTTGAATTGTAACGTTCAAGGACCGCACTCGGGTCAAATACTAATACTATCCAACGAGTCGAACTGCACCACGGCCGCCGCCGCCACCGCCGCCGCCGCCGCCGCCGCCGTAGCAGCCGCCGGCCACGCGCAGCCACAGAACGCGCAGCAGAACCAAACTTTGCCGCCGCCGTCGGACATCGCGACGAGTACTCTGGAAAAAGATTACGCCGCCGGACGGACACTGCAGCACCATCACCCGAACGAAACCAGAAAACTGCACCTCGTGCACAGCAGTGAGTGTTTTTTGTTTTTTTCTTTCTTTTTTCTTTCTCTTTTTCGTGCATTCGATTTCGAATAACGCGCACATACATATGAAATGTACAAGTACCCGCCCACGTCTGTTACACTCGTCTATTGTCACCGGAACCAATCGTTCAAACCGTGTTATCAACGCGAAACGCCGGTTCCGGGGGCGGGGCATGGCGAGAGGGTAAGGCCGGATTATTCGACTTTTGGAATTTAATTCAAACATTTTTTCTATAATTTCGTTTTATACGGTTTTTTTTTTTTGTCTTTTGTTCGATCGATCGGCACGAGTGCGTACATAATTTATTCGCACGTATGTTGTACTAGTGCGTACCTAAAAAAAAAAAAAGCACGTAACTTTGTCGTTAATGATTTTCTTTTTATTAACTGTATGTTATATATACGATCATAAAATTTTCTCCGTTATTACATTCCGATGATTTTCTTCATATGTAAAATAAAAATGCGTTTTTGAATATTTGCGGACAATAAAGTTTGATATTGCAGTGACAGGAGCGGGAACGAAAACTGAGAATCCGGTCGTTGGGAAACACATTTTTTTTTTTTTTTTTTTTTTACTGGTCTGTCGACACTACTTACAATACTAACTATTGCGTTACTTTTATTTTTAAGCGAGACGTGAGTATTTTTACATAGTGATTTCTCGCGCATTCGTAATTCTCTCAACAAATTTAAATAAATAAAAAAAAAACCGATTTACAAATTCAGATAATGTTCATCCTATTGAGTTTGATAATAATACGTCGATTCGCTATAATGTTAAAACTAACACTACAAATTGGTTCTAATAAATGAACGTTTTTTTTTTTTTTTTTTTTTTTTTGTTCTGTCGTACGTTCGTTAGACGGAGACAGCAACAATGGTGCACGTGTACCACCCTCTTGTCGTATAAAAACGTCCGATAAAATATATACTGTATTATAATCAAACGTGCCTTCGCTGCGCACACTTGTCTAGATTCATTTTTCGGTTATCTCTAATATAATTGCTTTCAAGTTCATAACAATAATATTAAACTACGGTACACTGCGGATGCGGGATTGTGTATGCCACGCCACCGAGGTGACACGATATTTAGTGGCAGACGAAACTCGGTTTCTGTTGTATCCAGTGCGCGCCGCAATACCTTTTTAAACGTTTGTATTTTACATTCTGAGCGAAACGACGAATGTATTGGTTTTACAATGATGTTTATTATTATTATTATTATTATTATTGTTATTGTTACTATTGTTATTATTATTATTATTATTATTATTATTATTATTATTTTTTAAACAAATCTTCTATCTTCGAAGTCTTGCTCCGATTTTCCAGTGTAGCACTTTTTCCGAAAGAAGATTTTATCAGAGTAGTACATTTTTAATAGGATTTTTCATAATAAACGGGGGAAAAAAAACGTAGGGAAAACGGGAAAATTTACGAAATGTATTATTTTTGAATCGTAAATACCTATTACGGCTTTTCAAAACGTGTACGACCGAACTCCGCCCAGAATCGTTTTTCGTTAGCAAAGATTAATCGTTGCGTAAAGATATACGTTTAAATTCCTCAAGTAAGTATAAGTATTCAATGTTCTAATCCGGAAATAACAAAGTAGTTAGGTCCAATTGGGGAATTTTAAAAGTAGAGTTCCAAATCAAATACTATAGTATTGTGCTTACATTTTCCACCACACCTTTAACTATCTTTCAAATATTTCATATCAGAATGTTATTATTTTTATTATTTATTTTTTTTCAGATAGGAGCGATTTCGTAGGCGGTATCGACAACGAAGCTTTAGATTTCAGTCATTTGACAGACGAATTCATTCAGAATAATAACACCGAACCTAATCAGTAAGTATACCTTTATTTTGGTCGTAGAGTCTATAACGATAATATTAATTAATCCTTACTTATTTACCCATAACTAACTGTAGTAGAATATTTCATCTAAAACAACAAATGTTACTGTAATAATCATCATCGTATGCGCAGTCCATTCATATTTAAAGTGAAACAATTATGTCGGTGTGACCTAATTGTTGTTTTTTTTTTTTTTTTATAAAAATAAACGTTTTTAAAATAAATTGTACGCGGCGTTTAACGTACCTAACAATACTAATCGTATTAACCTGTATCCACAATCATTATTAAAATTCATTTTTAAATAACAATAATAATAAAAAAAAAAGTTATACAGTGTGTGGTACTCAACTTATAACAGTACGATTTTATAGCAAGTTGACACACGTTTAAAAAAACGAAAACTCATTCGTAATGTTATTATGCTATCACGCGTAATGATACAACACAATTTTTATAAAAGTGCGAGCAGTAGCGCACGCAGAATTGTTTTTCGGGAGTGGTTTTGTTTATAATCATTTCCTAAAGAGGGGATAGCACATATTATAAGTACATCACGATTATTACAGAATAAATGACTTTTGATGAAATCAAATTTTATTTTATTCTGTGATTAAAGATATTATGTTGTTGAATGTAAAACTCAATTCAAAAAAAAAAAGGAACGAAGAAAAACCTTTCGAGGGGGGAGGGTAGATGAACCCTAACCCCTTTCTGTGTGCTCCACTGGGTGCGAGTGATCTTTTGGATTTAGATTTGGAGTTTTAATACGACCAATATTTTCGTCGGTTTTTAAATTTATTATTTTCATTTTTTTGTGCTTTTTTTGGTTACTTATATAATGAAAAAAATACGGACATATTTCGTACGATGGGTGGGACACTTTTGTAGATGAGAAGTTGGGAAGGTAGAATACAGAGAAGAACTGAATCACGACAAAAAAATAAAATTGAAAATAATAAACGCATTATTTTCGTAAATTTTCTCGTTTTTCCTACGTTTTTTTTTGGGTGGGGGGGTTTATCCCAATTATTATGATAACCGCCTGGGAAAAATGACTGCCTTGAAGTACTACTCTGGTAAAATCACTTTTCAGAATACGCGCTAAACTTGAAAATCGGAGCCAGTTTTATGGCAGAAAAGTTATTCACAAAAAAAAAAAAATAATAATAAACATAGTTGTAAAACCGATACATTTCTCGCTCCAGGATACGGATTACAAATATTTGTATTTGAATTAAAATTGTATGTTTTTGTAAAAAAATAAATTTTTATTTCATTATTTTCAAACAATTTTAAAATAGCCATTCGATAGAGTTTATTCGTCTAAAAATGTCGATATTCAACTTTTATTTTTTGTTGAATTGAGTGATTTGTATAGTCATTTAAAGTTCAGAGAGTGTGCATTCAACACTATTAGCCGTAATAGTAATAATTAATAATGTTATATTTATTATTATTCCGATTACATATAATTACGCAGCAGTCTTTGAAATCGCATTCACAAATTTATTGACTATTATTATTATGGGTAATTGGCTGTACACTGATTTTCTTTGGGCTTTAAGACATTATAAAAAATCACGATTTTAATAAAAACGAAAGTTCAAAAGTCAACATTTTCAGATAAATAAACCCCGTGAAATGGCTGTTTTCAAATTTTTCGAAAACAAAATACTAAATTAATACAATCAAAATTATTGTTATTGTTATTTTTTTATTTCACCAAAACCTACAAATTTAATTCAAATACAATTATGTATAATATGTATAGGTGTATAAAAAGGATTCATGTGAGTAATTAAAAAAAAAAAAAAAACCAGAACTCGATTATCTTTGTTATCTCCGGAGATTTTGCAACGGGTATATTTTCGTTGGATACACTCCGTACTCCCAGATAGTTTTGCATTAGCAATTTCATTAAATAGCAATGAATATTGTAATGGTTCCAGAAATTAAAACAAAAAATTCACAATTTTCTTATTTTTTCTTTCTTTTTTATTACGGTTATTCTAATTTATTTTCGCGTTCCTTACGAATAGTATACACCGCAAAGCAGATATAAAACGAGGTGTCGTAGTATACACCCATAAACAAATCGACGGGATTTTCGTTTACCACAACGTATACCCAGGTAATATTAATACTATGCGAACCCATATCAATGTGTGTAAACAATGGCGTGGTATTCCATACTGCGGAGTATACCCTAATACGGACGACGTTTGTGTGAGACGTATATTATTATTGTTTTAAAAAAACGGAAAAAATAAAAATGTTAGCCACTGGTTTGCCGGCGCGCCGTTGACGTTGTTCCTTTTCCCGATCGTTATTAACCCGTCACTGATAATATTATTATCATTATCATTATTCGATAATGATAAAAATTGATAATGATAAACATGGGTTGCCGAATAATGAAAGTGACCGTGCGAAGACGAGCTGGTTTTTATTTTTGTTTTCAATGTTCGGAACGAAAAATCAATTTTTAAAATATTGCATCGCGTACATTTATTATAATGTATACAGAGCGATTGTTTTTTACACGACGACCTCGCCGATAACGTAATGTTATATACGAAGAGTGGTATTTCGGGTAAATTCCGTTTTCGGTTCGGCCGGTGCGCGCGAATAAGAGAGGGGAGGGGTGCCGCGCTCCGTGCGTTTCGCCAACGCCGGTTATACAAATACGCCAGTGCATTTAAACGTTTACAACGAAAATAAGTAAAATGTTAGGTAACATTGGGTATTCCTTTCATCCTTTAGAAATCGCATTTTACAAAATCCCATCTTATTTCTCGTCGAAACGCGGTTCTTTGTGCGCGAAACATTTCAATAATAGAAACGTCTTCAAAGAGCTCTTGGGAAAAAATGATTTCACGTTTTCCCGAAATCCCGATTTCTGTACAAGGTTCTGCGTTCAACGAGTCGGAATCGCAATTAACGTTATTTTAGAGTACCTATCATTTTTTTTTTATTTTTTTTTTTTTTTAAAGATTTTTTTTATTAAATTTCTCAATCGCTGTTCACTGGATAGTGCATATCGATGAAATAATTGTTTAAACGATTATAAAAGATACGAAAATAATAGTAGAAAAATATTGATGTATCGAAATATGCTCCGACATGAAATAGCGAAAAACGTCCTAGGATAATGGGGACGCGTGCAGCAACTGTTATAGGCAATTTAATGTACACCTGTAAGCAACGATAAACCATTGCGAACGAAAAAACGATTCTGAGCGGAGTTCAGTTGATAGTGATTATTTGTCAACAATATAAATGTCATATTATAGTAGAATAATTAAATAGGCTTTGTATATTTTCTTTAATAATATTTGTTTAATGTTGTACCGATTTTCTCAGTTTCCCTACGTTTTTCCCGGTTTTCCCATGTTTTATCTCGGTTTTTCACACTTGCTGAGAAAATCGAAAAATTACCTTAGAGTACCTCCCTAGAGAAATTTCTTTTTAGAAACATTGCTTCCATTATAAATCCGGTGTCAAATCGCTCTCCGAAAAGTTGTTAACAAAAAAGAAAAAAAAAAAAAGACCGTAATTATTTTAACTAACGTATCTACATTTCTTATATTTTCCCGTTTTTTTTTCGTTTCGAGCAATTTGAGAAAGATGATATAGCGATATTCATAATGAAACAATTAAGTGCAATTCGATCATTCAAGGATGTTAGAACAATATTTTTAGCATTCATAGAATCTTTATTTACATATGGGGGTGTGATTGGGGGGATAGGTTCTTTCAAAGCTTCAAATGTGTCAAAAGCAATTTTCAGGGTTGCGAGTAAAAAAAAAAAAAAATAGAGTCCAATAATAAAACTATTTATGCAAATTTAATATGCCCTCAACATATTATAATATATATAAATATGAAAAAACTTCTGTGTATGTCTAGTTTAACTGATAACATTTTTTTGAAATTGTTTTGTTTAAAATATGTGATTTGATGGTGGTTCAAAAAATATTTAAATTTTTCCGCCAGACATCCGAAATTATGTCAAAACTATTCTGAAATGTATATTCAAAACATTTTGAAAAATTTAACAAAATTTAAATTTGCTCAAAACGTTTTTGTATTCAGCATACAACAATAGATATTATATATAAATATATTTATTAATTTTTTTTTTTGGAGGGGGGGGAGAATATTCAGTAAATTAAACTTGGTTCGTAACTTCGCGAGTTGGTGTTTTCGTCAAACCGACGTTGTGATTTAATTAAAAATTAAGGATCAAGCCGTGCGCACGCGAATGTGTAAAATTCTCATAAATACCGTCTAACTTGTTAATTTAAATGTTATTCATTGACAATTTGTAACGAGATCCCAAGGGTAATGATACCGACGTGCTACAACAAACCATATTAGTATAGACCACAACTCAAAAACTCATTCAAAGCATTTCGTGTTGTTTCCGAACTGCGGTTACCCATTTTGGTATGTTAAATCGAACTTTTAATCAAAAGAAAACATATAAATATTTAAAGAATTTAAATTGAAAGAAAACAAGGAGTTAACCTTATCGCCGATTATTAATGTAGTATCAATAATACTAAAAAAGGTACAATGGTTTACAAAGAAAAAAAAAAAAAATGTAAAAAAGAACACGGTTTCGGATTCACAGAAAAATGTATAATATCATCAGGTTAACTTTGGGATGTTGTTTGAAGGGTAGCATTTTCTTCTGTTTGAACGGACCTTCTTTTGAATAAATTTCACGATTGGACGCAACGAAATAATATGTATTCGTGATAGACGTAAATGACATCGCCGGGACCGCTTGTGAATTCATTTGAAAGTCGATAAATAATCTTTTGTTTTGTTTTGTTTTGTTTTTTTTTTCAAAGATTCTTTCACGAGACCGTTGTCGAACAAAACGATCACGTGATGGTTAGAATAAACACGCCGTACCAACAAGAGTCGCCCCAGCTCTTTTTGAAAAACACGTCGATACCGCCGTCAATCGCGGACCTGTCTTTTCACAACAACGGCGTTTTATCGAACGTCGGTCTGCCCGTCAAACCCGGTAAAGATAAAATTCACAACTACCCGAACAGACACAGCTTACCGGAAAGTCCACCGGACTCCGAGCCGCCGTATTCGCCGGCCGACGCGGTCGGCCAATCGCCGCGTAAGTATATAAATTAAAACCGTTGTCAAATATTATTACAATTTACAAACGTTAAATCTATTTTGCGCGGCGATGTGCCGGTTCGTCAAAAAACAACGGTTTACAGACCGGAAAACGCCAAATTTACAATGTCTGATATCGTCCAACAAGACACAGATATCGATGAGTCCCGGGGCCGCCGGCCTCTATCAAAAACAGTCGTCCGCGGCCGCGAAACTTCCACACCCGTTGACCGTCCAACCGTTAATGATGCCCGGTTCCTCGTCTCACGTTACACATTTGGGTATGTTGAACAATAAATATGTATCGCGATTGTCTATACAGGGTGTCCCACAAACATATACCCGTTCCGTATACAATACATGTTTTACATCAAATGGATATACCCGCGCGCGTATATTACCTATACGTCGTGCAATTCCGTTGAATTATTTTTTGTAATCCGTGAATACGGGGTTTTTTTTTTTTTTTTTTTTATCAAGATTTCAATCAAATGGCGTCCAACGCGAGGGAGATCGAAATACCCGAACCCGAGTACACAGACTTGTTGAACGTGAACGTGACTGCGACGGACAAGAAGCGAAAACTACAGTGTCCAGATCTCGGTAGCGGGACCAACGTGCGAGTAAAAAAAGAAACCGGTAACAATAATATTTTAGCTTCATATTCGTATCGTTTCAACTAAAAAAAAAAAAAAAATAAAAAAAGAATTATGCACACGGAATTGTACGCCTCATTTAGAAAATTGCGTGAAAAAACCCATAACACACGTGTCGCCGTCGGGAAGGTCGGTTTGCAGCGAAGACAGTTACACGTACCAAGACAGCTGCGAATCGGGTTTGTATAACGACACGAGTTTTCAGTGTATCCGTTTCCAACCGTTTCAAGAAACCTCGTGGAACACGTTGTGCGATCACTCGTTAAAAGAACTGTAAGTATGCGTCGTTATTTTTTAACAGAACGGATTTTATAAAACCAAAATTACGACGATTAAAAACAATATAAAATAACATATTTTTTATAATTTAACACCTATAAAAATAGCCGTGTCTACGTACCTATACATCGTGACGCAGATTATTGAATTTACGTGCAGAATTTGACGACCATAACACGTATTGTTTTCGACGGGAACGCGTTAATAAATAATAATAAATAAATACACGCAAAAAATGCTAGCGACTCGCGAACTAAATTGTATCACTTTCTATTGTGTAGACGTTTTTGAATTTAGACGTAATAAAACGATGTCCGAAATACGTATTTTTAGGCCGATACCGCATTATAGAGTGGACGCCGACAAAGGGTTCAATTTTTCCAACGTCGATGACGCGTTCGTGTGTCAAAAGAAAAATCATTTTCAGGTATACGGTTTTGCGATTATTTGAAACGTTTTAATAAGATGTCCATTTAATAACAATGACAAAAAAAACACGTATTTAGATCACATGCCACACACAACTCCAAGGCGACGCGCAATTCGTTAGAACCGCCGAGGGAATCCACAAGGTGGGCAGTTTCCATTTGCATTTTTACGGCGTTAAGGTCGAATCGCCCGCTCAAACGATTAAAGTCGAGCAGTCTCAGAGCGACCGGAGCAAAAAAGCTTTTCACCCAGTTTTGTGAGTAGCGCCTGTATATCAACGCGCTCGTCGCGAGCGTGTAGCGCCGGCGGTATTATCGTGTTAAACGTAACGGGTTTTACGCGTCGCGATCTCGTGCGATTTCGAATATCGCAATATTGTTATCGCGAATATCCGTATTGTATTTCGGCGCGACGATATTGCGATGTTTGACCGAAAATCATTACATTGTCGCCCATTATTAGCCCGACGGTTTTTCAGGCTGGATTTGCGCGAGGAACAGGTGTCGAAAATAACGGTGGGCCGGTTGCATTTTAGCGAGACGACGTGCAACAACATGCGGAAGAAGGGAAAGCCGAACCCGGACCAGAGGTACTTTTACCTGGTGGTCGGTTTGCACGCGCACTGCATCAACGACCACGACTACCCGATCGTCTCGTACGCGTCCGAAAGGATTATTGTCAGGGTAATCCAAGTAATTATGATAGACCGATATTATGATATTATGATATTTATTCGCCTCGCCCGTGTTACACCTGTCCGCCGCTTTTGTTTTTAAATGTATTGCGAGGCCGCAGCGACGTGTTTGTTTTTTGTTTTCGTTTTCTCGGTGCGCCGTTTTCGTCACATTAAAGGCTTCGAACCCGGGCCAGTTCGAAAGCGACGCGGAACTCTGTTGGCAACGCGGCACCACCGCCGAGTCGATAGTGCACACCGGCAAGGTGGGCATCAACACGGACCGGCCGGACGAGTCGCTGGTCGTGCACGGCAACGTCAAGCTCACCGGACACATTATCCAACCGTCGGACGTCAGGATCAAACAGCACATACAAAAGGTACGCACCGCAGCGCATAGCCGTACGGCCAACGCGCGTTAGGCCAAAGGTCGTGCGTACGACATACGCTTTTCCGCGGATCCGAATAATGCGTAAAGTCCCGAGTCCCGATTATTAAAACGGAACGTATTACGAGCGTTCGCCTAATAATTGTATGGGCGAAAAAACGGCGAGGGTGACGCGTAAAAATGTGATTGCGCGACTCGGTGCGGGGACGGCTAACGTCGGTTTTTTGAAAAAAATCATTTAGAAATGAAAATAAAATGTGTACGATTTTTTTTTTTTTGCCATTTTCTAAACAACATTTTTTATAAAACACACAGAGCCCTATGGGGAATATTAAAACGTCAAAGTCCATTTCCGGACGATCACAAAACGTGACATTGGCCCTTCTTGCACCAAGTCGCACGAATGCGACGGAGGAGCGGGAATAGTATTTTGTCAGCTGTCGAAAAAATAAATCGCGACGTTCGTACATAAAAGTCTAACGCGAGCAGATAGGTGGGCACAGTTCGTTAGTAAGGGCAATCCGTCACTGCAGTATACGACACTCGCCGGGACGGTGAGTTTTATTTTCGTAAAATGTTATTGTTATTGAGGAATAAAACTCCGGTGAAGTTAGCCGATCGAGAACCGTACGAAATATTCTATTATCGTATTATTATACCGCCGTCCGATTCGTTAACGTGATTTATGCCGTACTCGATGAATATTTATGGTTTACACCGCATAAATTACATACGTACACCCGGTGCACTATTATAATTTATAAATATATATATATGTATAGCCATTAAAATAGTACGAGTACAAGTGCGTTTTGTATGCATTCAACTATTTCACAGCGGTCTATTGTTTAAAAACGTCACGAGTACCTCCGGTGGCTCGTAATAATAACAATTTCATACACGTATTCGTATATTTCGATGGTTTCTTTGATATTTTCGATAAGGAACATTTTTTTTGTTTTTCGTCGACCGTATTCGATTGTAGAAACTGTTACCGTAGGAGAACAATGCTCTATCCGTAGTTACGACAGAGTTAACGAAATTGCGTAGCACGTAAAGAGGAGACGTAATATACCCGCCTTTGCCATATCTCCGTATCACGAAAACTAAAACAACGCCAACGATGCACAGATAATATTCTTGTCTTTGAGTTTGATACCGGGTTAACCCATTCTAATGCTAAAAGAACAGCACAATGTTGTCCCTGCCGAACGCGAATTCGCTATGTAATACTGGGACAACACATGCGAGCATCCGTGCCGTAGCATGCCCGTTTTAACCACTACCCAATAATTATTCATTAGTAATCAAAACAACCGACAATCTACAAACTGAAAACTTTCATTTTAATTCATGTTAACGCAAAACCAAGCGCGCCACGACACAGATACACGTTTCTTCTTAATGTGCTGTGAAATTTCGGCGGGCAGTTCTACCATAAATTCGGAGAGTTGTTCCCCCCAAACAATTATTTAATACGCTTGGCATCGAGATTGTTAAAAAACGTGGATTTAAAAAAAAATTGCTTTAATCGGGATTTCAACGTTTAAAACACGTTTTTATTACATCGTCGTTATATTGTCGTATAAAACGTTTTAAACACATTTAACTTGAAAATAAAATCCTTAAATTTTTAAACGAACTATCGGTGTAAACTGTATTATTATCTACTAGAATACTCATTTTAGAGTATAGACGTTTCAGTATTAGTCAATAGTAAGTCAGTTCATATTCGCAATATGTGAGTCTGTGTGAGTTTTTTGACATCAATACATTACACGTTATTTTATATTAAATAATAGGCACATCGTAATATTATATCATGTGCTTAATAGTCATATTATTTGGGTACCTATTATGAACGATTGATGATTACAGTTAATAATATACAACAACGAGTAAATGCTATACCTGTAGAACGAAAATAAGTATTTTTCAGACATAATTAATTATCAGTACGTGATTTAATATCGTCACCTATTTTTTCAATACCGATAAAATATCAATACGATTTCCGTGAAATCAAATACCGTCGTATAACGATATAACCTACGAATGAGCGATTGTCGATAGGTTATGAGTAATATTAAATTAAAAAAAGGGGTTTATTGATTAAAATTTATCCACGGAAAAAAAAAAACATTGTTTTGTTTTAATATATACGGATTTGTATTATGTGATTTGTTGGTTTAGTTAAAACAATATGGTTTAAAAAACCTTGCTTGGCATATGATATTCTAGATACGTGTGTTTATAATATTATTATCATTTACCTATATTTGTTTTTTTTTTTTTTTTTAAATTTTCAAATCGTAGTGCGATACAAGCGAGCAGTTGCGGAACGTGCAGAAATTAAACGTGGTCCATTTCAGCTATAAACCGGAGTTTTCTTCGTTGTTCGGGTTGTCTCTGAAAGAAAGCGACACCGGTATTATCGCTCAAGAGGTTCGGGACGTTTTGCCGGAAGCCGTGACGAACGCCGGTGGCATCGCGTTGCCCAACGGAATCGTATACGATGATTTTTTGGTTGTCAACAAGGTACCTACAACGTGATATACTATTTTATTATTATTTTTTTTTTTATAGCTTTCACAGTCCATGTAGGACCTTTGCTGACTCAATCACTTCTCTCCATTTATCTCTGTCTTCGCTGTCTTCAATTCTCGTCGCTTGTGATATTCCAATAATATCTGCCTTCACCCTATTTTCTTATACATGTCTCGGTATTTTTACGTTCAGTTTCCCAATAAAAATCGTATTTGCTACGCCTTTAGACATACAGATGTGACCATTTACATGCAAATCTGCTTGGTCACTCACATCTCTTGATACTACTAAGTATTTTGTCTTTTTTTGATCGATTATTAGTCCTATCGGTTCCGCTGATTTTATTAGGTCTGTGGTCCTCATTTCCACTTCATTTCGGGAACTACTAATTATAACTACATCGTCCGCGTATACTAAGATGGTGTTTTGTCCTAGAATTTCCACACTTTGTCTCACGGCTAGAGATCTAATTATTTTTTCTAACGCCAGATTGAAAAGTATGGGAGAGAGCGAATTTCCCCGTATAAGGCCCGTTATAACTCGAAGATTCCTGACAAATTATTTGAAGTTCATTCCACTATTGCACTCTTTTATCGGCCTGATCAATTTGGTTGTTATGCCAAATTACGCTATAACCTATTGTATTATTATGTTCTTCGATTTTCCTACAATCAGTCTACTAATGATAGATTTTAACGTTCGGCAGGACCGGATATTCATGGAAAACGTCGGAGCCGTGAAAGAACTGAGCAAGATCACCAGTCACTTGGAAGCCAGGATATGCGAACTGGAACGGAACAACAAGCGGTACTCATTGTTGAAAAACAATAACCCCGGTATAGCCCTATCGGATTTAACCAGTGAGTTATATACCTACCGGGTTATCAAAACAATTTTCAAAAATGTTTTAAACAAATCATGGCTTTTGACCGCTTATAATGTATTTGAAAAATGACCTTGCAATAATCGAATAACGTAAATAAAACGCAAAAATAAAAGCTCTACATTTCAACTATTCGTTACACGCATCGAGCAAACATTTCGAGTGGGGTCCAGACCTCCGGATTTCCCTTCACTTCCATACACACCGCGTAAATTTAAAAAGGTCGAGTGCGAATTATATAATAATTGAATTAACACTGAAAATACTGTCGAGAGTACAGTAAAGTTATGTTCGAATGACTGCATATTTATTTGCAGTTGCTTTTGGTTTTATTATGTTATTTGTTTTATATTATTTATTTCATAGCTACGACATATTCGAACAAGCACAATTACGACGCTACTGCTGGAAAACGGAAAACGGTAAAACTGAAGAATGTGAGTGATGTTTGCTGTGAACAAGTAGTGCAAATTTCCATAATAACCCTAACGGTAGTCATCGCTAGTTGGTACGCATATTAATAACTGTAGCAAAAGTGCACGTTTATATTTGTTTTAACTAACAATATTATAATGCCATTTTTCAGTTTGGTTTTTATATCCGGATTGTTTTTTATGGAACACCACTACAGAAATCAAATAAAAAATATTAACGAACGTGATTTGTGAGTAATTAAATTTAAAACAAAAAATAATTACACAATTTACATAAATATATTTTGTTGTAGAAAATAAATTATCCTGCTAGGTATGAAATTGTCGTTAGTATAATATTTTAAATTTTTCGTTCTGCAGCAACATCGTAAATCCATTGAAAACTAATACAATTCTAACCCATAAGAACGGCCAACAAACAAAAGATACCGGTCAAATATCAACCGAAGTGAATGGGTTTTTGGACAAAGATAAACATTTAAATTGTTTGCTGTTGTTCAAGCAACTCGTAATCAATAGCGGCAGTTGTGATGTAAGTATAAAGTATACTTACATAATAAATTAGAATATCGTAGGTTCGACCTATACTACATTAGGTTAGGTTAGTATAGTCGTATAGATGATATCGATGATATTTAAATCGATTTTTCGTTCATACAGTACCGAAAGATAAAAACAACAATGGACAAAATCGCCGAAAGAAAAACCGAAAGGGACGTGACTGGAAAAATGGCTTTCATTAGCTTCATCGTTAAAATCGACCGTGTTCCGGGTATGTATATTTTGGAATTATTATCAAACTGTAATTATTGATTTAGCGGCACAATCAGTATTCACCATTAAGGGAGGGGGAGGGGGTATGAGTATTAAAAAATCAACTGACTCCAAGAAGATTTTACAGCATAATTTATAACGCAAACGTCGCCCCTAGTTGTGCTTCTGTTTGAACAGTCGTATTGTTTTTAATTTTGCATAGCATCGGTCTACAGTTATTATTCTTGAAGTGTAAGAAGGGGAAAAAATAGTTAAACTGTCATCATTAAAATCTGAAAAAACAAAAAAGAATTCTTAAAAAAGTACCTAATTATTTCATCTAGAACAATATTTTACTTGGGTATAAAAATGAAATACAAATTCGAATCTACGGCAGTACGGCCTAGAGGTGGGCGATTCATCTATAATTGTTCCACCGCCTCCTTAACTATCTAAGTGATTTATATCTTTTCGTTTTCATAATAAATTCGCTCTTTGTTCGCAGACATTGTGTACAAGGATATGGTGATCAGCGTGTACGGAAGTTATGATAACTGGACGGCGGCGGAAATTAACGGGACGGACGTATGCGGCCGATCAGAACTCTTCCAGCAATGCAGCGACAAGTCTATGTTTGTGTACGGGTTTCAGGTTCCGGTTGCCGAAAATTTGACCGACTATACCATCAACGTGACTTATCGGCAAGTAGAATGTGGTTCCGGTTATTTACAGTCTCTGTGACTGTTATCTATATTAATAATTATATTATAAAGAGAAAAAGATTTGTTTGTATGTTTGTAATGGATGAGCTCAAAAACTGCTTAAGCGATTTTGAAATTCCTTTCACCCATGCCAAGTCATATTATCAACGAGTAATATGGGCTGTATTTTATTTTCAAAAAAATTAGAGGAGATTCCTACGGAAGTGTATTATAATAACGTAACCCAAGGTATCAAAAATAACGACCGAATAATGTATTACATGTTTATAGTACTCATGTTTATTCGTGGGTTACTTTGGTGATATAGATGATAATTAATGTGAGAATTGCAATTCTTATTTTTTTTTAAAAAAAAACATGCTTTGACGAAAACCGCAGCTTTGTCGCGCGTCAAAGCGACTTACCGCGCACGAGCAACGCATGCAGGATAGCTTGTATACGATATTATAATATTATATTTTATGAGTGTTAAAAAAAATGAAATACAAATGAAAATAACAGAAATTGACGCTGTGTATTACGGTTTGGTTGAACGAGAGAGAGAACTGATGGCGAGAGAAATGTTGTGAGAACGAGAACAATGGGTTATTCAAGAAGACGGGCGAGTTAAGTGCGGGGAGGTATGATGAAGAAAAATCAGTATTTATTGCAAGAATGATAAGTGAGCATGCGGTGTAGACGAATGGTGATGGACGCAGATAAACGCGGAGGGCGAGATAAAGGCGCGAAGAAGAAAAGATCAAATAATATTGTTCATGTTATAATTTTGTTTTTCTTCTTTTCACCCGCAGCAAAAACAAAGGCAATCTGGACGGGTGTTCGACCGGCATGTCCGTGACGACAACTTGCCCTTCGAGTCCCTCCGTCGGCCTTTGGGCGGCGAACGGCACCTTGCGGCACGCGTCCGGTCCGCCGTACGAATCGTGGACGGCCGACGAGTATGTCGTGTCCGAAGACACAGAAACGGTTTCTGTGATCGTCCGGTACAAACCGTGGCCGTATGAACGGATAAAGGTGTGTATAACTGTGAAACACTAGCTGTCTGAGATAAATTAAATGTCCGCGGACATAATCCCCCAACCCCGACCTCTTTTCTTATCATCCACCCGCCCATCTATCTTCTTCTTTCACCCAAACACCTTTCTCATCATAAATAATTACTTGCGAATTGCTTGCATGTCCTCTTACATTATGTTGTTGTTTTGCTAGCGAAAATCACTGTAGAACTACTTAACAGATTTTGATAAAAACTAGAGACGGTAATTGAGGAATCGAACGATAGGACCATTAAAATCTCGGTTCTAGAGACTATTGCCGATACATACAAATAAACGTTTCCTCTTGATAATATATAATTTAAGACGAACCATACTTTTACTATAGATATTCCGGTACCCCTTCGGCGACCGAATGAAAGTATCAGCTTACTCGGCGTACCGCCTAATATGCATTGTCCCATGCGTATTTTTTCCAAATGCTGGCTGCATTGAATAAAATTCGTTCGCGTTTTACAGGCGGCGTGTGTCAACGGCTCGTCCGACGACAAACGGACAGTGGCGGTTGTCGAGTACAACGTCTCTCTGAAGAAAAATTGCGGAGGCGACGGCGTAAACTCGTAAACTAGTGACCGGAAAAAAAAATGGAAAAAAAAAATGTAATATTATATGTGTAGACGGAATGACGGACTGCGAGCAGTTGCCGAACGTGGGACCCGATTATAAAACAATGTCAATATTATAATATACGAGACCGGAGGACACTGTGAATAATTATTATGTATCTCCACGATACATAATATTATCGTTATTCTAATTACGTTGCATAGGATCATTGTTTCGTTATTAATTTTGTTATCATGATTGTTCGGCAATTTCGCCGTCCGTATATTATAATATTGTTTTTCTCCCCGTCCGTGGTATCCGCCCCGCGCCGCCGCGGTTTTGCGTTTTTGTCGTACGGACGTTACGAACTGCAGACACTTTAGGTACACTCTCCGAACTTGCGCTTAGATTCGTAGTACCGTTTATTGTGAAATAAACGCAGGCGTGCACATTATACGGGTCTAGTTTATCGTGCGCGATATGCAAGATCGCCAAGCCTAAACAAACAGAAAGAGGCCGTCGGACTTGTCGGGTAAACAATGCCCGGAGGAAACCCGCAGCAACCGGCGTGATTTGTAATTATTTCGTTTATCGAGTTGCGTAGCTTATCGTTTCTTCCACGCTGTTATTATAACTCGTTACGTGTCTGGGTATGCACAGAGCACGTGGAAATTAATTTAGCTCTTTGTATAGTTTCGAAATCAGCGGAAAGCTAATCTCGTTGGTTTTTAGTTTCTAATATTATTAAATTAAAAACCGTATCCCCTCCAGCTTTATAGTCAATTTTACATTTTAAACTACGTTTGCGGTAAATATTCTGTATTTTCGTTGGTTTCAGTACGATTGTGAGTGATCATCTGCTCGAGTAGATCAGCAATACTTCTTCGATTACGATAAGTGTGTTTTGATAGTAACGACATAAATATTTAAATTATAATTTCAGTTTTTTTTGAATAATTATTAATTTGTATACCGTCTTTGCGAATAAAACAAATTAAATAATGATGAAAGAAGTACGGGTACCTAGTTTATTTTTTTCTTGTAAAGATGTATACAAATTCATAATTATTCAGGAAATAACTGAATTATAATCTAAATATTTATATTGAAATTATCGAAATACACTTATCGTGATTGGAGGAGTTAGAAAACAATAATTATCCCAGCAACACTTGCGAAAAATGTCTGGACACGCCTATGAGCATGATGCGAGCACATTACTATATCATATCCAGCCACCTCTAATAAGTATTAAATAAAAAAAAAAAAGATATTCTTCCACTCCGTACTTGCATTCATTTTGACCAACCGGAATTCGCACACAAAATAATATTTTATAATAAAGGTCTTAATATTTCGTATACCCATGAATACCCATTCGTGGAATATTGTTATAGTTGTCGGAATATTGATAAGAGACCAGGCAAAATATTCTACTGTTACCGAAATTCCTCTCTCAAAATATTGTAATGCCATAGTTTGGTATTATAGTTCCCCAAGTGTTAAATCATCGTCACTCCGTATTTATACTTTAAAATGTGACCTGCCCGCCGTAGTATTTTCCGTTTTCCCGTCTCTATTATTTCTTCCCAGCGTGGCTTTTCAACGGCTTACTGTTTGGTTTAGATCTTAAGGATTCACTTAGGACATTAACTAGGTACCATTGGAACACGGACAGATTTGGACGTGACGGATTATTGTTTTCGTCATTGCAATGCTGCTGCGGGTCTCTATGGCTCCCTAATCGCATTCTGACCACTATTATGAGTTTCTGTCCAGCTTGTTCATCTTTATTCCTTTGTTCATATAAGAGTGTATTATTGTCTGTAGTTGTATAATAGCTAGTTGAAATTTCGAACGTCTCGTGTATGCACGCCCACGTATTCGTATATTATTACACAAATATTAAAAATAAAAATAAAATCCCGGCTTCTAGTGTTTATAATATAACTATTTGATGATAATTTTCGATTTAGAATTATAAGCCCCTAATAAATAGGCGGTATAGAAGTATACAATTTATTTATTCTGTACAAATTTATGTTTTACGAGCGAGTAAGTAATCTAAAGTGTTGTTTTTAGTCGAGGTTTTTGTCTTTGTTATTAAAAAAAAAAAAAAATCTAAACATTATCATCTATAGAATATTAAGCGATGACACAAATATTATATGTAGTTTTAGAGTTTTAAATACATAATACGTATTATTTTAAGTTCGTTTATTAATATTATTTTTTTTTTTTGTAATAAAATATTGTAATTGTCATATCACGTGTTTTATTGTTTTGTTTTTCTTATTAGAGTTGTCCGATAAAAGTTTTATTTGTATTGTTATTTTTTTTTTTTTCGATTTAATACCTGCGAAATATCTACATCTTCGGTTTTACCTGTATTGTATTTAATTTTTTCACTTCTATAGTTTTATGAAATAAACAAAAGAAAAAAAACGGCTGATCCTGCTGATGGGGGTGCTCCACTGTTGTAGGTGAAAAGTTAGAAACATAAAACACATGAATTTATTAAATTTACTTCTGTAAGTAACGATGAACAATCATTGTCGACGAAAAATAATTCTGATTAGATCCGATTTTCATCAAAATTTGATCTTAAAGCCATTATAAACTAAACAAATTACTAAATTGTACTGTTTTAATTTTTTTTTTTACCACTAAATACAACTTATAATGAACCTCCTGTTAAATTTTCCAATATTTCTGTTCGGTTAACAAATATGTCTACAATCTACATAGTATAACGAAATAAAAACTGAGTAAAAATCTCTCAAGCATAAAATGCCTATAAATAGCTCAAAAATGGTTAAAATATTTTGAAAATTCAACCACGTTTAAAAAAGAAAATAAGTTAGCTGTCAAAACTTAAAATTTTTATGAATATTTTAAGCTAAGTTACAACAAAAATAAAAAATTGAAAATAATAAATGCATTATTTTTGTAAACTTTCCCGTTCGTTTTACATTTTTTTCCAGTTCTTACAATTATTAAAAAACTACATGGAAATCAAAAAAAAAAAAATTACTTATTTACCATAACTAGATTAAAAATTCAACAAAAATTAAATTTGTTGCAACTGAAATAATATTTCTGGTAAAAAACATAAAACGTAAACATTTTAAATAATGAAATCGTACGCCGTAAATTTGTTTATTTTCATTTTTCGTATTTTCTGGTTTTTCAATTAACATGAAAACTTTTGGGAAAATCGAAAAATGACTTATTTCCACAGTAACTAGATTCAAAATTCAATAAAAAAAAAAGTTCTTTGTTGTTTTTCTATTTGAACAAAATCTCCGGAAGTTTACAGCGTACAAATTGAAAAACTAATGAAATTGGGGAAAAAAACTAATGATGAAGATATGAAAAAAAAAAAAATAATAAAAAAAAAATGAGATGAATGGAATATTTTGAGAAATTAATGAAAAGGCAGTATTCAAAAGAGATATAAGGCTGTATTCCGTGAAACGAAGGAACGGTATGTTTAGTCAGAGAGGAGGAAGCGCATTATATTTCCTTTTTTGTGCGAGCCTCGAGAGCGATAAAAAAATAAAAAAGTATTAGATCCAGCTGATGGTGTACCAGTTGAAGTGTGGTAAATGTTAGAGGAGCTAGGCAAAGGCTGGCTAAAAAATATTTTCAATAAAGTCTTAGTAGAACGGAAAAAGCCATATGAGTGGGAGGGTGGGTTGTGAAATACCTATTTTTAACGGGAAGTGAGATGTAGGGAGAGTGAGGAAATCGCAGTGTAATAAAACTAATGAGTCTGGCACGCCGAGGAGATCATTTTTTTTTCGATTTCGCAAGCGGAATCGAAATAAGACGTAAAAGAAAAACCGGCAAATTATTTATACGGCGTTTACAATCGAATTATATTTTCAATTTTTTTTCAATTTTCTTTGATTTTCACCCGAAATACCGTTCGGAATTCCACGAGTTTCAGTAGGAAAACTGTGTTGCGCCGGCGAGTTAATAGAAGCGGTTGTCATATCGCATAGCGATTACATTGCGCGCGCGACAACAGTATTGCGCGTCACGCGCGATTGAAAACAATTTTTATTACGGGACGCCGGAAAACGTAGCTAAACGCGTCTAAATCGTAAACGCGCGGCGTACGGGACGATTTTTTTACGGACCGGCCGACGATCGTCCGAGCAATAAAAACAAACCGCGCGCGAATATTATTCGTATTGCAACGTCACGGCGTCCGCGCGTGAAATTCGCGATCAATCACACGCGCACACGCGAAACGTGCCCACCGTCACGCGATGCACTGCTCCGGCACCGGCCAACTGACGCGCATGGCGCAACCTCCGCTCGCGTATTATATTTGCGTGTACGTTATGACACACGCGCGTATATAAATATCAATTTGAAGCGTACAACGCCCGAACGCGGAACGTAATTGATGACCCGGCCGTCGTAACGGCGCAGTATGCGCGGCATCCGAGTGCATTAATTACGTTTATAATATTGCCACGCGAAAAATGTCCGGCCCCTACGCCCCCGCCCACCCCCCCCCCCTCCCAATAATATATGCGCATAATATCATAGTACAATGAAATAGTTTCACAGCGACGTCCGGTCCATCTGTTTCGCGACTCCGGAACGTCAACCGCATCGGCGCGCGGACCGGAACCGCGGCGTACGCGACGCGAACGACCGTTCGGAAATCCGTTCGGAATTGATTTTTCGCCGGGGGGGGGGCGGGGGGAAAATAAAAAAAAAGACGGACATACTTCGCCCGCGACGGGCGGCCCCCGCTGTTGTGCGGGCGAGCAGTCGGAAAGGCAGCGGGGAAATTTAACGTGTGTCCGGTACGCGACGCTAACGGAAAACGATTCTAAGCGGGGTTCGGCAAATAGCGTTGCTTTGTCGAAAATATAATATTCATGTAATACCGCGGTAAAATTGCTACGCGTGCATCATAAATTTTCTTCAATGATATTCGTTTCATATTTTAAACATTCTCCCGCGTTTTTTTCCGGGTTTTCTCATTCGTTGAGAAAACTTCTGGAACAATGAAAAAACGACCTTCTTACCGTACCACTGCAGTCAGATTTCCTTTCAGAAAAAATGCTATCATTGTACATCGGAACACAATTGTTGGTTGACTACTTGTTCACAAAAAATAAAAAAAAAAATAAATAAATAAAAATAAACATCATTGTAAAATCAATAAATTCCTCGCTCCGTTCAGAATCTAAAATACTAATCCGACGCAATTAACAACTGACGGTACTGTCATTCGCCGTACATTACACGTGTATTGCCTGATGGACAAATTATTAGACAGTACGGGATCTTGCACGTTAATGTACAATATCATATTCGCATTGCGTACTACAACCAGAGTTGATACGAGTTGGTACCGATCCGGGGTACAATAATGAAATGGTTAAATTTTGATTATGTTAGCGGGTAACGCCGACACCACTCTGCCCTTTTAGCATTTTCTTTGAACCGACAGGGATGGATTTGGAAAACGGTTCGGAAATCAGATAATGGTTTTTATGGTCGATCAAGCGACTGTCAAATCGTGCGAAATGCATTTGTGGCTATTTCGGTAATGTATACGTTATTAATTTTTTACATGAACATGATCATTGCCTGTTTGACACGACAAAACTTCTCAAATAACAAATTTAGGAATTCAAATAATTGTTGGTGCTATGTGAATTCAAAAAAAAAAAAAAAGAAAAAAAGAGCTGATACTGGTGATGGGAGAGGCCACTGTTGTAGGTGGGAAGTTGGGGAGGTAGGACACATACGGTTATTTCATTTATATCTGTAAGCAAAAATAAACCATTGCTTGACGAAAGACGATTCCGAGCGCAGTTCGGTAATACACAATTTGAAGTACCGTAATTATTTTGGCGATTTTCGTTTGAATTTGATTTTAAAACGCTTATTAAAAAAAAAAAAATCGTCCGATGATTTTAGAAACTTTATCACTTCTAAGTAACTCTCTACGTGTATTTGTAACCGGATTACAGCAAAAAAACTTCCAACAGTTTAAATTCCTTAAAAACTCAAAAATGGCTCAAATGTTTTAGCTATGATACCAGAAGAAAGTAAATCAAAAAAGGAACGCGTCCGTGTTTTATAAAATAATAAAATCGTGAAATTGTACGTTTTCCAACATTTTTTTTCCCACTTAAATGCTTTTATTCAAAAAATGGCGTCGAAAATCAAAAAATGACTTGTTTAATGTAAAGTCTAAAATCTTGGGCTCGCAGAAAAGTTGCTAAACGTAAAATTCGGAGCAAGTTCACTAGGAAAAAACGTGTCCGCAGACTAGAAAAAAAATAGATCCCTCGTTACGCTCGGAATCTAAAAAAACAATCGAGAAGACAGAAAAGTAGGATATATGATACGAGTGACTTAATACAGGTACACATTAAATTACCTGTAACAGTGGCTGCACCCATCCCCCATTATTCTGGACGTATTTTTGCAACTGTAAACAACCAAAGAACGCCAAAAAACCCTTTTTTTTTTGTTGAATTTTGGATCTAGATACTCGTAGTACGTCGAGGTGGTCACTTTTTGATTTCCCGTGCAGTTTTTATACATTCACGGTGCCACGATTACATTATTTAAACTTATTATATATTAGCATATATATAGTCTACCATGGTTTTAATAGAAAAACAACGTAAGACCTTTTTTGTTGAATTTTTAATGCAGTTGGTGAATAAGAATGTAGTTTTTTGATTTCCCGTGTAGTTTTTTTTTTAATAATAGAACAAAGCCGAAAACAAACTTAGAAATAACGGGGAAATATACAAAAATAATATTATTATTTGTTTGTTTTATTGTAATTCAATTCAAAATATTCACGGAGACTGGGAATTTGAACAAAAACTGATATAATATGCCTTATGTAGACGTGGTAAAATTTCCAAAATAATCGAGCCATTTCTGAGTTATTCATTGACATTTTAATTTTACGTCGTTTTTATTCGGTAGGGGTACTCTGTGGATATAAATGTCAGATCGAACAAAAATACTTAAATATCGAATTATCAAATTTTAACGAAAATCGGAAATAATACGGCGTTTCAAATCGTGTATAATTCAACTCCGTTCGTTTTTCGTTAGCAGTGGTTAATCGTTGTGCACATGATACGTATGTACATTAATTGTACATACGTATAATCTATAATCTATAATCTATAATCTTAGATCCGTGACATAGAATGTTCACAGAGTACTCGGGTATAGCCATTTATTGGCGTGATAGAATTTTCAAAATATTCTGAAGATTTTTGAGCTTTTTCTAGACAATTTACATTTTAGGTGTTTTTTCCCAAAACGTATGATAACTTTATACTATACGTTTTGAAATTTCATCTTCAAAAAATTGTAGCTATTTTTTATATTCCCCTTCTATAATCTGCAGTAATGGAAATTCAGTTACAATTACTTTGAAACACATATACCAAAAGAAATGTAACACATAAAACTTTATGGCTGCGTTTACTGGCCAATAAAATGTTATTTTTACAAGGAGAAAAAAAAAATTAAGTTAAATGACGTTTATTTAATATAGCACCTAGTATAGTGAATACGTACTATAAATAATTTATATCAACTGTAAGTCGTTTCTCTAAGAACATAAAGTCAAATACAATTAAGTTTTTCATTAAATTATTGTGTATCTCTCTTTCCACGTATAATTTATTTTACAGACCCACGACTTCCTACAGATTGTTAACATTTACAACAAACAAGTCTTGACGTGCTTTACAAAAAAATGTTCAATCAGTTTTAATTTTTATGTTTAGTAACTTCTTTTCTTCTGGCCTAAACCATGCTTTACAAGAAAAACGATTATATCTTGTACTTTTTAGCGTGAAAAATATAATATTGATTACGATCAATTTTTTTTTTTATCGGAAAGACAAAAACTTTTTACGGTGAGCATTCGATTTGTGATTATGTAACTACAAAAAAAAAAAAAAAACCAAACAATAAATAGTGAAAATTGGTCATATTCAAATTATATAACTACTTATAGCGTTTAGAAATGGAATTTTCAAAAATCCATTCTAAATTAGTGTACCATGTTTAAGTCTACCAATAAGTGAAGATCTTTATACTCCACGAGGCGTAATTGTTTTTTCCGAAAAGCTTATTTTGAACACATTTAATATCCTACACGATAGAAAAAATATGTATATATATATATTTTTGCTACCGATTGTTTTTATTTTGCGCAATTTTAAACTATGAGCGTATCGAGATATTCAGGAATGTATGGTTCCTTTTTTATTTTTCGAATTAATAACTTTTCTACTAAAAATCATGCTTTTCTCATCAATATCAGGGTCCAGGGTGGCCAACAGTGGCCCGCCCATCGTGCAAAGTATGTCCTACTATAGGTATTTCCTATTTCCGTTATTGCGGTTTAGGATTTTCCGTAGTGAAATATAGCCGAGCAGAAATAATTTCCTTTACTCGTTTCTATGTTAACTGAATTGTTTATCTTTTTCGGCAAAAAGTTGTATATGAAATCTCTAGCATTTAAATATTTCCAATTGATTCGGACCATTTTATTAGCCGTATTATCAACCGTGCAATTCGCGTTTGAAACAGTAAAACACAGAACCTATGAAAAAACCATTTTAACCAAGTTCCGTTTTTATCCAATAATCATTATTAACCATGAACGGTAAGTGCTGGAAAATTTTAAAAACGAATAATACTCACCCGTTTACTTATGTATGCATAGATAATACGTTATACGTAATATTAAAATTTAGAAACTATATACGCAGTCAAAGAAACAAAATGTATCGAAGATATCGAAGATCCAAATCGACGTCGGTTGACCCGTGAAGTTTCTACGCACACGTTGAATGGTTTCAACGATCTCCGACTGAACGTTAAACTATGTGACGCGTCAATATTACTCGACAACGGCGATGTATACCCGATACACCGGTCGGTTTTAAGCGGTACCAGTGATTATTTTAGGTCTGTATTTGTCATCATACGATCAAATATTAATAGACTTACTGATTTTTGGAATGTTTGACGAGATGTTTTTTAAATTTTACCGTTTCGGTTTAACCGAACGATCTGGATTGGATTCGTGTTTAAAGCACGTTTGTAATCATTGTAAAGCAATGTGTACGTTTAATGCATTTTAGGTTCTGAGTGGAACGAGGAATGTATTGGTTTTACAATGATGTTTGTTTTATTGTTATTATTATTTTTTTTTTTTTACGTGGACACTTTTTCTACCAGAAAGAATATTCCGATTATCAAGTACAGCACCTTTTTTGAAAGGAAATGTTCTCTGTGTGGTACTTTAGAAAAGTCATTTTTTAACATTCTTATTAACATTCGAGAAAATGAGAAAAATCTCGGTCTTTAGGTTAAAAAAAGATTGAAAGATTTAAAATAAGGTTGCCATTGGCAATAATTTTTATTTATTTTTTGTTATTAAGTTTTTATTATTTTAATATTTTTAAACATTGTTGTCTTGGAAACGCACATTGTTGTAATTATTTTACCATAATCTATATAAAGTAAGATATACGTTACACTCACCCATTGATCAGTGCCTAGCAAAAACTACTGGATGGATCGGGCTGAAATTTAGTATACAGACAGTTATTATGACGAAGGTATCCGCTAAGAAAGGATTTTTGAAAATTCAACCCCTAAGAGGTAAAAAAAGGAGATTTCAAGTAGTTTTGGTACGAATATCTATTATTGTTTATTTATTTATTTTTGTTTATTCATGAGTTATCTTGGTTAATTTTGCTGTCACGGACAACCGCGTGTGTTCGTATAACAACTGAATTGATCATTTAATTGTAAGACTTTGAATAGTTCTTACAGTAATTTTTAATATGATATTAGAGTATTATATAAATAAGAATGTCTGTCTGTCTGTCCTTTACAAACTCATAAGATTATTATCTATCAGAAATTACTGGTCCGATTTTAACGAGGTTTTTCGCAAAATGTTCCATATTACAATTTCTGAAATTTAACCCCAAAAGGATAGCTGACGTGGATTTTGGTATTTCGTGGTATAGTTTTTATTGATCGGGTTACTTTGGTAACAAAGTAAATATTGGTTTTTTTTTTTTTTTATTATTATGTGGTATCTATCGTTCTATTCGATCGCGGCGTTTAGGTCGATATTAGAGTACATACGCTAATAACAAAAGACGTATCATCAGCACTCCCCTTTCTATCATATGCACACATGCGTAAAATTTAACATTTTACGACCCCAATATTAATAGTACGTCATCGGCGTGTGTTTATATGATATCGAAATTCCAATTACTCATATTCTCGGTCAAAAGTCGGTTCCAAGCAATTTAGAATGCTTGTTTGCGTAACCTATTTAAATTATTTTATTGATATTAACAAAAATTCTATTGTATATTGTTATAATCAGTACAAAAGTACGCAATATACCTACTTTAATCAATTGCGTACAAGTAAATAAGTAATTGATATTATATTTATGGTTTTTTCATACGCCCGGATCTTTTAAATTATCTAATTTTTAAAAACGTATAATAAAAATTTATAATGCCCGTAGTGTTTCAATTTAATTAAGTACATAAATTAATTAATGTTACAACTGTTAGAACGTAGGTACCTACCTATACTAAAATATTTCAACTTAATTAATTCTATTTCTGTAGGTTACGTTAGATTAAAACAATCACACTAATTGAGTATTTGAGAAATAAAAAATTTCTCAAATTGAATTTTCTCAATCAAAAAATTGAATTTGATTGAAATCGGGCAATAGGTAAATAAGGCCATTTAAATAACCATTTTCGTGTTTTTTTTTATTGAAATTTTCTACGCAGCGTACACAACCTATTTACATTCAATCTGTTCTATCTCTTTTGGTGCGTGTTGACTTCATTCTGATGTATTCACGCTCAGAATACTTGTACGTATTATTATATTATACATGATAGCATCTGCTAAATATTTTTTCTCTGTTCCCTTATCTTCCTCTCCTCACCACGCGAATAAATTATTATGTTTTCATCCCGGTTTTGTATAGAATACTTTTCACCACTACGTTACACGAAGGAGACTACACGGAAATAATTCTAAAAACCGTTGAAAGTACCACAATGGAATTGATTCTGCAGTACATTTATATGCGGCAAGTAGATTTGAATTACGATAACGTGTTGGATGTCATGCGAACGGCCGATTATTTCAGCATCGACGGTCTGGTTCAACTCTGTCACGAATACCTAATCAACTATATTTTGGGACCCGAAAATTGTGTTACGTTAATGCAATTCGGACAGTATGTATTATACGTATGACCGTGACTACGATTGTTTTTCATAGTAACTAATTGATTTTAAAAGTTGCCAATTTTATATACCAAATTTTAGATTCTGAGTGGAGCGAAGAAGCTTATGGTTTCACAAAGATGTTTTTTTTTTTTTTTTTTTAACTGAGTCCAACATTTTACCAGAATATTTACTCAGATTTTTAACCGGAGCACCTTTTCTGAAAGGAAATTGATGTGGGGAGGTAATTTAAGGAGGTTTTTTTTCGATTTTCTCAAGAGTTTTCCCAGCAAATATGAAAAACCTGGATAAAACACGGGAAAACCAGGAAAAACGTAGGAAAACGGGGAAAATCGGTACAACATTAAACAAATATTATCAAAGAAAATATATAAAGTCTATTTAATTATTTCACTACAAAATTACATATATATATTGTTGACAAAGCATCACTATAAACTGAACTCCACTCAAAATCGTTTTTTCCTAAGCAATGGTTTATCGTTGCTTACAGGTCAGATACAGAGGCGTATAGAAGATTTTATTGTGGAGGGGGATATGAAATAATATTTTTAGAGCCTAATTTTTTCCTAAATCTATCATTGATATTTGAAGTATTAAGTATTATTACCATTATTATTATTATTATTATTATTTATTAACGCCACATCGGGCAATTTTGCATATAAATACAAGTAATATTGCATAGGATGTTTAAATATTAAACATAATACTGTTTAAAGAGGGTAGCTTATAAAGGTTATACAAAAATAATATTAAATTAATAATAGAACATGTAGATTTAGCAATTTAATAAAGAAGGGTTTTCGTTAGCCAATCGCATCATATGATATAAGGGATGGTTACGACCAAAGTACGTGTAATGAATCGGGACAATAAAAGAGGCGTGAGAACGCAGAGAACGAGGGGGGGAATTCTGAAGTTCACCAGGGAAAGGAGAAAAGAGGAGTCAATAGAGCCATCAAGTAGCTTGGAGAAGAATCGAGTATTAGCAGACACTCTTCTGTCCGCTAATGAATCTAGAGAAAGAAAGGTAAGGACGCTAATCGTCCTATGCACGTTTGGTTTTACAAACGTGGGCCGCAAAAGGCAGAAAACGATGCTGCACTCTCAATATCACAAGATCCAGAGGCAGTATACGGGTCCCAAAGCACTGAAGAGAACCCTAACATAGAACGAATTAAAGAGCAGTAAATAATTTTTATAGGAGCGACAAGCAGTGAGAGTATTAAGTATAAGGAGCTGAATGACATTCCAAAACTTAATAATAGTCCCCTAAAAATGTTTAAACACTCTAAATGTTTTTATCACACTCAAAAACAGTTTAGCTTTTGACATCAGGTTCTCCCGTGTAGAGATTTAATAACAATTGAACATAATAGCATTCATATTCTGATATTCTATTTTATTAATTTGAAAAATAAATTCAAGTTTTCTGTTTTTATACACACTTGACCTCAACTTCACCGTGACAAGACAGCAATGCTAACCCATTCAATTTAGTCTATACTCACAAACCATCACATGTAAAAACAATTTAAATTGATATTTTTTTTTTGAAAATACTATTGATTTTATTGTTATTATTGTGTAATGATACTCGCGAAATGACAAAATGACTTAATGTCGGTATATAATGTTATATAATTTAACTGTTAAAAATACACGAGTAAATTGCTATATAACATAACAGTTTACAGGATGTGTGATCGGTTATGTGCGTGTTTATACATAAAAAAATAGGCAAAGATCAAAAATCTATCTTTCATATCCACCCCTCCCTTCAAAAATACGCCACTGTAACAGGTATACATTAAATTGTCTATAATAGCGACTGCACCCGTGCCTGTTATACTGGGACATATTTTTAGTCTTTCGAGTGCAATTGTGTGTAATTAGTCGGTTTCAACAGAATAATTTGTAAACCAATAACATTTATATTATGTAATAATTTCGCTATACTCATTTGAAATATTATATTAATTATCGTTAAAGTGACTTTTACTTCGGCCAGTTGGCCGACGCGTCGTACAAATTTATCATCAAAGAATTCACGCTGGTGTCGGAAACCACCGATGAGCTGATGAAACTCAGCAAAGACGAGTTCGAGAGTATCATCGAAGACAACCAGTTGAACGTGAAACACGAAGAATGCGTTTGGGATGTTTTGGTGAAATGGGTCGACGTGGACCCGGAAATCCGGAAGAACGATTTAGTGTCTTTGTTGCCCAAAGTTCGTTTCGGGCTCATGGATTCCAAATATTTCATCGACAATGTAATTATCATCCCGCGTACTGCATTGCTGGTCACCGACATTTTCGACTGGGATTTTTGATTTTTTTTTTTTTTCTTTAGATCTCGATTTTCTTTGAGTAAAAATAAATCATTAAATTAAAATGATGAAAAGCTAAATAAACGAAAATGGGTGCAGTTTTGGAAAGCCTTAAATCCGTTTTAAATATTCAAACGATTACCCACGCGTCCTGATCAGTAAATATAGATCGCGTGGTTTTCGAAATCAATGTTGATGATGCCAGCATTAGTCTTGTTCAAAATACTTTTCAAATGTATTCAGAATACGGTTTTGAATAAACACTTGTGTAAATTGTATTTGAATACTTTATTTTATAAGCACTTAACTATGAAAGCATATACATTTTTGTTAAAAATATTCCAAATACTTTTTTCCCCTAAATACATTTTATGTGCCTTGAAAAGTATTTACATTCAACGATTTAAAAACAAACGCTTAAACTTGTTTACGAATGTTTAGTTAAAAAAGTTGAAGAATTTATTCAGACAAGGTTTCGAATTGAAATTGTTAATTTCGGTTTCTAGTCTCGGGGTTTTTGAAAAAAATTTGGGTGTTTCAGGTGTTAAAAAATCTGTGTGAAGGTTGAAATGTGAAGCTTATTATGTTAATTTTAGCAGTTTAGGGGTAGGTAGATAGTAAACACTATACTTAGTTATTGAACTATAATAATATTCTTAGGCAGGGACATTATTTGAGGGGATTTGAGTATACTTTGGCAGACCTATATTTTGAAATGTATTTTTTGTGGTCCGCATAAAATGTTAGTTGTTATTATGGCTAAAGAAACAGGAGTGTTAGCAAGATAATATAGTGCGCATCGAAACTGACGTGAATTGGAGTAAATCGTGGTACAATGACCGAAGTGTTTGATGAAAAAATAAACTATGGCCATAGTTTAGTAATGTTACTGTAATTTTAACAAACCTAGTATTTCCATATTAAAATGTAAAACAGGAATACACGAATAAGAGCGAGCGAAGCGGACTGAAAATGTTCTGAAAAATCGGTTTGATTCAAATGTTTACATCCCTATTGAAGAACTTAAACGGCGTCCGTGTTCTTAAGTATAATAAGAAATTATAACACCGATAGAATAAACAAAATAATTTTATGTTATTGAATAAAAAGTCTTTATGAAGTGTTCCCAAACATAACATCTGTTAAGTACAGATGTTACAGATACTTAGTATCAGTAAAATATTTAAATTGAAGTTTTCGAATAATTAATAAGCCCGGTCCACAGAGACGTATTTACATTTTCGGCACACTCGATCACTGTTATTTTCATAAGAAAAAATGCGTTATTTAAAAATTAATTGTTTTTTTTTTTTTTTTTTTTGTATTTTACAATATCTAGAAAAGGCTAGTATAAGTATTTCGTGAAAATGTTCGCTCTCTTCGATGATTATTTTTAACCGGTTTACAATAAAGAATTAAATCGAAAATAACGTTTTATTTACCACAGTTTTTTCTAGTTTTTCCCAATTATTAAGAATACTACACGAAAAATCAGAAAAAGACTTTAAAAAAAAAAAAAAAAACTAGATCCAAAATGCAATGAAAAAACTCTTTTTTATCTTTTGATAGGAGTAAGACAGTTTACAGGCAGTGAAAATAATTATAAATTAAAAAAAAAAAAATAAAAAATACACATTACAGTAAAACCAATACGTTTCTCGGTACGCCCAGAATCTAAAACAACGTTATTTTACTGCGTCTTAAATCTTAAATAAAGGATCGCGACGTCCGACGCCGATGTCCTCCGCGGCCACTCTTTCAATACGTCCCTAGACACCGGAATGGACTTGTTAATTAGCCGTGTGACCAGACGATATTGTAGCCATAAATTATAACCGTGCCATTTACGGGTTCGCCGTGATAATATTTTATTGTCCTCTCGGTCACAGGTCAAGGACCACCGTTACATACAAAACCGAGCCGACTGCCGGCCGTACATAATCGAGACGCTGAAATTCTTGTACGACCTGCAGCTGACGTCGACCGACACGAAAATGATGGCGCCGATGCTGGCCCGGCCCAGATATCCGGTCGAGGTGCTTTTCGTGATCGGCGGCTGGAGCGGCGGGAGTCCGACGTCCGCCATCGAGGCGTACGACACGAAATCAGACCGTTGGACTCGCGTGACGGACGAAGACCCGTTCGGGCCCAGAGCCTACCACGGCACGATCGTCATGAACCACTACATCTACGTGTTCGGGGGATTCGACGGTCTCGAGTATTTCAGCTCGTGCCGGAAGTTCAACACGGAGACGGGGACATGGGAAGAAGTGGCACCGATGAACAGTAAAAGGTAGGCGCCTGCGCGTATTATTATTATCGTCGTCGTCGTCGGATTTCCCCCGAAAACGGATATTATCACACGATATGTTGTGTCCCGGTAGATCTGTCTACCGTCTTGATGCGTTTCGTCTAGAGTTCGAATTCGGGAATTCGAGTCTTTTTTTTTTTTTTTTTTTTTTTTTTAGATTCGTACACACTTGCGGACCCCATCCCCCGAGAAAACGTTACGTTTTGTATTTGCACGGTATCACTATCGAGAATGCGCTCTCGGTTGTTTCGGCTTTCGACGTTCTCTACGATCATTTTTGTGCTTAGATTTTGTTTAGGAAACAGTGCGTTTTAAATGCTCTCGCACATTCATAAAATCAAAGGATTCGGTGGAAATGTGTAGACATAAACATAATCGTTGCCGATGACGCGCCCCTCTAAAAGGTTTTCAAACTTCTGACCTTCGACATCGTCGCTTGTGTCTGTACGCGAGCGAAAATATCGATTTCTATGAGGTTACGGAATGATTTGTTCGCTCGGGAGAGCGAAAAGGCGCAGTTAATCTTGAAATAGGGCAAGAACATCGTTGGACGTGGTTATTCCGTGAAGGTCAATACGAGTGATAAATAAATACAAATTTACATACACCGATTAACGGACATTGCAATGGCGCAAGTCGGCCGGAGTAAATTTGACCCCGGCGACGGCGTTCTGTTGTTACTCTTGCGATTTTTGTTTAGTGTTTAAACTAACGGACGTCTAAATACTTTTTTTTTTTTTTTTTTAATTATCAAGAAATATCTGTTTTTAGATGTTACGTAAGCGTAGTGCTGCTGGACGGATTCATTTACGCGATGGGCGGCTTTGACGGTCACCACCGACTGAACTCCGCCGAAAAATACGATTTCAAACGGAACCAATGGACCATGATCAAACCGATGAACGCTCAGAGGAGCGACGCCTGCGCCGCCGTACTCAATGGTAGGTGTATATGAGCCGGGAAAGGGCAAAAGTCGCCTCGAAATGAGCGTTTGGTTATTTTAGATACTCGACACTAGTTAATTCGCGCCGTCAGTGCGAGAGGGCTGTGTATTGAAAATTGTAAATTTTTCAAAAAAAAAAAAAGCATATGTTTCTAACTGTAAAGCGTTATCGCACTAACAGTGCGAATTCGTTGATAATTCAAAAAGATCTTTAATGGAAAAAGGCCGCGTTTTATTTTACAGTATTTACAGTTTCTATGCATTTCAGTATAATAAGTTTATTACGTAATACGGCGCAAATGGTAATTATTTATTTAAACTATTTTTCAAATTTATTTCCTCCGTTTTAGTGCAATCGTTTTCAATTTTGAATTTGAAATTCACCAACTATATTCAAAATGCAAAATGCGAAAAAAATTATCATTTTTTTTCGATTAAAGCGATATTTGTAGTGGTAGAGTTTTTCACGGAGAGAAAAAATTTAAATCGCCAGTCGAAACCGGTGCATCCCTCGCTATGTTCAGAATCTAAAACGCACCGTAGTAAAACCGAGCATACGCTTAGAATCTGCGAAAAGAAAAAAAAAAAAAAAACAACAACGCGGTAAAAGTCATCAGATAGACCGCGAACGGAACCCGGAAAATATAAAACGTACACAGTGTACTCCCGATTATCCGCTGTCTTCCACGGAATCGTCTACATACCTGTATGTATACAAAAAAATACACGCGTATTGTGTCTTTCCGTTATAAATCGTTACGGGTGAATTTGTCATAGTCGATAACTCGACAACGACGTAAAACACGTTTTATTAAATACACATCACGTTATGTTCCTTTAATAATACCAGACCCTCGAATGTTGTACGTTGTACATTTAGCGCAATTTCGTTTTTATTATAAAATTTACTTTTGCGGATTATCCGCGGATGTCCTGCCATCCTGTTCCGCGGACAATCGGCAGTACGCTGATATTTATTCCCCGGCCCAATTCAACACCGCGAACGCCCGTTTACTGGGGACCAGGACCCGGGCGAGTTTCGCGAGTGCGCGGTCGGTCCGCCGTATCGTAAACCCGTAAATAGCGCACAAGGCAACGGGTATTGTTGCGCGGTGAAAATGGGAGGTACCCGCGTAATAAACGCCCGGGATACCTGCCCGACGCGCCGTCTCGAGTGCCGCGACACCGGGCGCTTGACCGTTTCCGAAACCCGCGTCCCCGCCCCGCCGGACACGGTCGTTTTCGTAACGCCCGTTTCGCGTAGAAATCCGATAGCGTTTTCGCGCGGGCCGCGGCCGCGAACTCGACGTTCGACCTCGCGCGGCGTTTTCGCCGAGAGTGTGTGTGTGTGTGCGTGTGTGTGCGTGTGCGTGTGTGGGGGGGGTGGGGGGTGGACGGGAGGGGACACCGGTGGCGAATCGCCGTCGCGCGGGCCGGACGCCCGCGGCCCGCCCGGCGAAACAACGCGTCAATACCGTGCGACCGGTCCGTTGCAGGGAAAATCTACATAACCGGAGGGTTCAACGGCCAGGAGTGCATGAACACGGCCGAGTGTTACAGCGCGGACGCGGACGAGTGGTCCGGGATGCCGTCGATGACCAGCCGGCGCAGCGGCGTGTCGTGCGTCGCGTACCACGGCCGGCTGTACGTGCTGGGCGGTTACAACGGGCTGGCCCGGATGAACGACGGCGAGAAGTTCGACCCGGCCACGAACCGGTGGTCGCCGGTGGCGGACATGTGCAACCCGAGGAGCAATTTCGGCGTCGAAGTGCTGGACGACATGATATTCGTGACGGGCGGCTTCAACGGCATCACCACCATAGCCAGCGTGGAGTGCTACAACGACCGCGCGGACGAATGGTAATGCCAACGACAGCGTTCCCCCGGTCCGGCCGCCGTTTACGCGCGCGCGCGCGTTAGTTATTATCGTCGTACGCGCGCCGTACGAGTGTGCGAGTGCCGAGACGGCGTGCCGGACCGCCGCAAAATACGCGCGCAGAGACGACGCAGAAAACGCGATTTCGAATGTTACTGCCGCGCCGTCGCGCAAACGCGGATCGATTAACGGGCCCCGTTAACCGACGTGATCGGCCGTTTTCGGTACGTTACGGCTACCGGACTTCCGTAGGTCCGCGGATCCGTCCGTCCCTCTCTCCCGTCATTTCTCCTTCTCTACAAACGTCCGTCCGCCCGCACCCGCCATACTCGCGTGCGTTTGATCCCGGCGACGTCGCGTATCGCGTCGCGTCCGCAGAGACACCTAATATAGCGGAAACGCCGAAAGATCGACGGACAATACGTGTACTCCGGAGACGAGAGAGAAAAAAAAATTAGACGAGTGATGGGCACACCGAATGTCACCGAGACTACGACAACCGATTAGAATACAACACGAGGCGGTGGGGGATTCGGGGGAGCGATTCGCGCCCCTTTCGTCTTTCTCGCGCTCGTAGCTCTAATGTTTTATTTTCATTTCATTAGAATTAACGCGAATCGGCTTTTTACGAAATAGTACAATATAGGAATATAAACACGCGTTAACGATAAATTACCAGTAGTAAACTAAAATCTAAACTTAATAACCAGAGTGATGATAAAAGTAAACGTAAAATAAACCGTTGAGGATGAGAGAACAAAAAAAACCAACGGTAAAAACCATTGTTAACGAAAAATGTGTTTCGGAACAAAATTCTGTTTTAAATACTTTTGGAGGGCCGTAATATTTACGATTTTCGTCAAAATTTGATTATAAAACTCTTATAAAAAAAAAAAAAATACAAAGACTACAAAACACTGTTCAGATTTGCGCAATCAGAAGTAAAACTACTGAGAACATTAATTAACAACTTTCTTATTCACTAACTAGATTAAAAATGCCACAAATTTTTGGTAGAAAACATCGTTTGTAAAAATTAAAACAATTATACTGAGACGCCAAGTTGCCGTTAATATTAATCAATTTCAATTTTTTAATTTTCTCAATTATTATTAAAACTACATTGGATATGAAAAAACGACTTTCGTTTCATGGAAAAAAAAAATCGATTTTTTTGTCATTTTTCAATCGGAGTAATATTTCTGGTAAAAAATATGAGTTGAAAAAATTAAAAACAATGAAAACGCTATTCCGTGATATTCCGTAAATATTTGCCGTTTTACCGACAATTTTCTTTTCGGTTGTTCTCGATTATTTTAGAAAATTAAAAAAATTATTTCCTTAATGCACCAACTAAGGAAAGTTTTCTTTCAAAAAAGTTGCTACACTCGATACTTCGGAATAAGATTTCTAGTAGAAAAATCGTACACGGGCAGAAAAAAAAAACCGCACACACGCACCGTGGTAAAACCAATAGATCCCCCATTACGTTCCGGATCTAAAAAAAACAATAAAACGCGTTCTTCCGTACCGAAAGTATTATAGTACGAGGTGTGACTATTAAACAACGAGACTGTCCGCCTAGACGGCGCCCTAGACGGATAGTGAAAAAAACGAGTAATGCGTTGGGTATCTAGATATCTTATCTATGCACGTACCAAAACACGTTTCCGTCGCTATTATAGTACTTGTGCAGTAGTGGTTTGAAACGAACGTGTTGTTTTTTTCTCGAAAAACACGAGCAACGGATAAACGTAAAATTTTCTCGTTAAGCTAAAAAAAAAAACTCCAACCGAGTGCTATAAGTTGTTGAAAAAGGCCTATAGTGAGGATTTCCCATCTCGGGCGCGTGTTTTCGAGTGGCGTAAATTATTTTCTGAAGGTCGAGAGTGCGCCGGAATCATCCAATTCAGTCGTAATCCAAATTCAAAACCGTTTTATTCGATATCAACGGCATCGTGATGACGACCGAATGGGTTCCAGAGGGTGAAACTGTGAACCGACATTATTACTGTTTGACAGTTTCGGCAACATTGCGCGCCCGAGTTCGTAAGAAACGGCCGATATAGTGGAAAAACGGGTCGCGGAACTCGTACCAGGATAAAGCGTGAAGCGTTATTCGGCCGCTCAAGGCACTCCAGTACTCGAACACGCGTCTTGCTCACCCGACTTGGCACCCTGCGACTTTTACTTGTTTCCGAGGATAAAGTCTGCCTTGGAAGGAACCCGGTTTGAGTCGACGTGTGAAGAGGCGAAACGAAAATCGGCGGAACTCCTGAACGGTCATACGAAAACAGACTTCCGGCGCTGCCTCGAGCGACGGAAGGGACGAATGAAACGGCGTGCGGCGAGGGGAGGGGAGCACGTTGAAGGGGAGCATTCGAATGTAGAATAGTTTTTAAAAATAAAACCATTTTTTCATGACCGTTAGTCGTTTGTCAATAGCCACGCCTCGTATGTTTGAATTACGCATCGTTTTTGAAAGTTGGGGCATTCCTAGAAACGTCAGATTCGTCGTGAGAAAGATAAAAAAAAAAAAAAACACCCACGTAGTAGTTTGTATTGTACTGGAAACACGAAAACCTAGTGATTTCGGGAGCTTCGTCGTATCGACCATTAATTAAACTCCGAGTGGAACCGGTACCGTACGTACCGCGTCTGTCCGAATTTCGGCAGCGTGAACAATAGGCCCGCAATCGCGTTTTCGGTCGGCGGCGTTTAGCCGAAAACCAGAGGAGCTCGTAGTTTTAGCCGACGCACCGTTAGTCCGTTGGCCGCCGGGTCCGTCATTGGGCCCGTCGCGAACGCACGACGTCGTCGGGACACTGCTTATGCGTTTGTATAACTCGCGCGTCGCCGTTCATGTATCCGACCGGATTGCGCCGCACGTCCGCCTCAGCGCTCAGGAGTCGTAGTAAGTGTAGGTGTGTGTACCTGTGTGTTTCGCAAAGGTTCGAGGCGAAGAACATGCAGATATTCAGGTCGGCGCTGTCGTCGTGCGTGGTCCGAAACTTGCCGAACGTGGAGTACTACATGCCCGAGGACAGGGACAAGCTGTCCCAGGACAGCCCCAGAAACTTGGAACGGAACAGCCGGTACAGCAACAACACCAGCAACGACGACGACGACGAGGACGACGCGCGCCGCACCGCCCCGGAGAACAGGTCCATTATCACCGACAACACGCACGCAATAGACTCGCGCAACGTCGTCGTCATCGATGACGACGACGACGACGACGACGACGACGACGACGACGATGACGACGACTACGACGACGACGACGACGACGACGATTTAGAGTTGGTCGACCCGTAGGACGTGCCCGGGGACGGCAACGCGTAACGATAAAATTCAACAACGCGTATCGCATACGTATTTGTGTCTAATAACAAAATCAATAATGTCTTTCGAATAGGAAAAGGAATTTAATAAACTAAAAACGACTAACTCAAAATGCGTTTGTGTTCAGAGTTTCGAACGTCGAGTTTCCCTTAGATCAACGGTTCCCGGCATTTCGAACGGCGGCCGCGGACCGCTTAGAGAACCGTTCGACAAGCCGCGGGCGATTTTTCGATGTTTCAGGGAGCCGTTTTTTTTTTTTCAAAGATTTACAAAAGCTCTCTGAGTTTCAATTGTAATTGATTATAATGAAGCAATGCGATTTTGAGTTTGGCTTTTTTTGAAAAAAGTTTCGAAATCGAGAGTTGCGTACCGCCGTTACTCGTGCGACGCGTGTTGTTATTTGTGTAAAACCGAATCCTCCAGATTTTTTTTTATAACAAACGTACTTAAAAATACATACCCGTAAGTAAATTATGGGTTTAGAATTTGATCGTTTTATGTTTTCAAAATTCATTTATAACTGTTTTCGTAACATATATCGTGTCATCCGGATGTTCATTACGTTAATTTAACACCAATCTAACGATTGGAAAAAAATTTCACTACGAAAATAACGCCAAAAGTTATCAGTTTGGATTCCAAAAAAGAATAGGAAAAAGCTATTAGTTTTTCTCTCGGAAGAAACTTTTCGAGTCGGTGAAAATACATTGAAAATTTCATCGTCTACCGTTTTGTCCGTCCTTTTTCTGGATTATTTTGGATTTAATTTCGGGATGTTCAGGTAGAGGTTTAATTGTCTGTACTGTTATACGCGCTATAACTGTGTTATTTTTTAAATTTTTTTTTTGAAATCGACACCACATCGATACCGTTCTCGAATTCGGTTTTTGTTGGTTCCGGGTAATATACACGTTTCAAATATGTGGTCCCTGATATCTGTTGTTAAAATGACAATTGTTGACGTACGTTTTAAATGAATTCGTAATATGCTCGTACCGGCGTAACGTATCGCAATTATTGATTCTGTCTCCGGCGTAATTCGGCCAATCCGACATTATTATTTACCTTTTGGACCTATTGGCGAACTCGACGTCGACTCGGAAATAAAACCGCGCACAAAACCGATATTTTCCCACTGTTGAAATGGTTTAAAGTTTTTTTTTTTCTAACGGCGCGGTATTTGAAAGTTTCTTTACGCGAAAATACACTAATTGACGGATAACATAAAAATACACGATTGCTGAAGCGAGTAGGTATAGAGGAGAAAAAAAAAAAAAAACGAATTTCGAGAAATGTTTGCAACTATATGGTATTAAATGTACACGTCACCGCAAATGATAATATTTTCACAGTATATTATAATGTTGATATGAAATCGGTTAATGTCGTTATATTTGTACGTTAACCGATTTCGTGTCGGTACAACGGTATTGGAGTGGCCCGATTTCCAAACTCAAAGGTACACGCGCATTGTCTGTGTTTGCGCGTTGGTTTTGTTTTCTACGTTTTAATTTTTAAATCGAATTCGACGGCATTTAAATTTTAATATTTCGCATAGCCGTAGTTCACTGGAAATTTAAAACATTGAAAAAACCAACGTCCAAACTCTGGAAACCATCTCACCTTCAAGTTGTACAACAGGCCAATACATTCTAATAATAAAACTGACGTCGCAAAACCTATTTTCATATAGAAAAAGTATAATATTTTAACGCCATTAACCGATTTCACTATATTCACCGTAACATAATAATATATTGATGCTACCTATTACCTGTTATACGCGTAGTGAAATCTCTATTTTCTCATTGTCGGGGGAAATATACCTGTTTAAAAATTCAGATAATTCAGTGTAATTTTTATCATTATTATTATTTTTCAAGAGTACTCATATCCGATTATTGTACACGGCTCGGTGAAATGAATCCGACACAGCTTTGTACAGCCCTCAATAGAATAAATTAAAAAATAAAATATGGGAAAAAAAGTACATTGAAGTTAAAGAGGGGTCGAGTGGACTGTCCGCATAAAATCACTGCAAAATCGTTTTAATCACGTTACGACTAAATGTATAAGTTCATAGGGATTATTGCATTTTTAATGAGTACTACTATACTGAAAGTACTTTATATCAGTTATTTATTTATTTATTTTTTTTTTTTTTAAAAAAGAGCCAGTCATACATTGCACCATGATGGGTGGATGGATTTTAGTTCTCTGGGTATATGGTACTACTATAGGTTTTTTCCGAAAACGGTGTGTCGTCGTGTGTCGTCAATTTTACATTTTTTTTTTTTTTTTTTTTTTTTTGAATAAATATTCTAAATACCTAAATTAGGTAAATATAATATATAGGGTGTCCTACAGGGTTCTTAACGGTCAATATTCATATTTACCTTTTTTTTTTTTTACATATGTAGAGAACAAATTAATGTATGATACGTCAAAATGTGTAGAATATATTTTATATAATTTTAATAATTTATAATATATTTTACGAAATAGCTGTTTTGGAAATCTAAAAAAGGGATGAAAATACAAATTTAATTTTTCTCTACACGTGTGTTACGCTCGCATTAAACCCGATTGAAAAAAAAAAATAATGAATATCGACATAATTATTAGCAATAGGATAAAATTCTAGGGCCACCCTGTGTATATTTTGAATACTTACCTAAATGACTACGTTATTCACATATTATGTAGGCATTTTTTCATTAATAATCTAATCTACATTTACCGAAATTGTATTTTTACCAACGATAGTCTTCTCCTCAGTCAGTCAGGTCCTGTTATTTTTTATATGTATAGATAATAATAATAATAATAATATTATGAAAATATAATCGTTCGATTTTCCATCTTGTATTTTTCCATTACAAAATGTTTTTCGTTAGGTTGTACGATTATATTATTATACAGGTACCGACAGGTATTCGACCTAATAACTATTTGGACGTACACACCTATCGTTTTTATGCGTGTATACCGAAGAAATTAAAATTAAAAAAAAAAAAAAAAAAACAATTTCAATATTTTCTAACGACATTATTTCTTGCGGAATTCAATCGGACGACGGGGCGAACGGAACAGAATCCAATATTATCGACACCGTTTCGTTTATTCACGCAGTGTTCGTATGCGTCGGGATGGCCGGTTAATATACAAATTCGATTTAACTGTCGGGAGGACGTCGGCGCTGTATTTATATTTATACGTTTAACGGTGTTGTATTATTGTTATTATTTTTATAAATAATTTAGGCGGTGCGACTAAAAATGAAAAAAAAAAAAGAAAAAAAAGAAAGAAACCACGAGAAAAATAAAGAAAGTAATGGACGTTTGAATAATGGACTAGCTGGGACAGGGACGCGGTTTCCGAAGGACCATTCGGTCCGTACCCGCACGTTTTACGCACGTCGGACGAACAATTCGACGAAATTCATTCAGTACAGTCGCGTGTTTCGAAACACGTACCGCGAAAAACCGAAAAAATATTACCGTTGTAAAAATACATTTTCGAACTGTGTGTGGTGCGTATACCGTACAACCGTACAATAATGCACGTTTTTTTTTTTTCTACAGAAAAGTTCCGAATTCCCGACGGGAAAATCGTTGCAGTCATTTACTATTACAATATAACGGCATACAATAGCGGTTCTTATAACGCGCGCGCGGTGGTGCACGAAGACATTTTTTCATTACGTAAAAATAAAAAAAATGTATTAGTTATAATAAACAGTTCGATAATCCGTTAATAACAATTGTACCTGCATATTTAGTTTTACTTTTGTGTATTCAAATGGCCTATAATATTAAAACAAAGCTTGTTTACATAAGCTCCATTACATGTAAAATAACTTGCGCATTTTATTTGTTGATAGGTACCAAAAAAAAAAAAATAAAAAAAATAGCTGATACTGGGTCCTTAAATCCTTCAGCGCTTCGATCGAAATGACATTCCGCTCAAATACAGTTTTTTATTGGGTTGGGGGGAGGAGGGGACAAACATGCAAACGTAAAATTGATCATCGACTACCAATAATTGTCCGGGGAAAAAGAAAATTAAAACGTAAAATGGACGATTAAAGATGATAGAAAAATCGAAGTAACATTTGATTTTTTTGACGAGAAGCTTAAATTTCGAGGAGGGGAGGTCCATACTCAGCGGACACCTCTTGGCTATGTGTCTGGTTCCAGTTGCTATACATCGGACCACAAAAACCACCTTACTACGCACCGACACATTGCCGCCCGGATGTGTATATGAATCATCGTAATTAACTTTTTACTGGCATAATTCTGAAATTCTATATTGGTATTTTATTTTTGTAATAGTTAAACAGTTAATGTACGTAGCTTCTAATAAATGTTCGCGTAGATGTGAATTTTTTTTTTTTAAATTTAACCCAAACTTAAGGATTTAGTAATATCCAATCGAACCACGATATAGATGTAAAACGGCGTAAACGTGTAGACTTAGTTTGAAAGCAAATCGTAACCCGACAGTATCAGGTTCAGCGGGATAGCATACTTTAAACTTGACTACAGGTCTGCTCTCTTTTGGGATAGACGATACATTAAAATAGTAATTGTTTATTATTATTATTATTATTTATTTTTTTTTACGGTTTTATGGTGACGATAAATTAAAAGCTCGCGTATATCTTCAATGAACACATTTTGAGTAAGCTTATACCCGCAGGCCATAATAATCATCGGATTTTCATACAGGCATACTTACGCATGAATTTTAAAACACGTCGTATATCCGTGTATACCCCCCAATACATTACTGTATAGGTATACCTATTAGAGTTCTACACGGCATACAATATGCGTAACGACATTTAGAAATTGTGCATTCCTTTAGCACAATTTTTTGTTTTTTAGTACTTGGCAATATCCGCGTAGAACAAGCAGCAAAGATGAAAAGCCCATACTCACTTAAAAATCACCGATGAAGAGTGTTTCCATATTCGGGTGGGAATCCATCAGTCTGGGGGTAAATTTGTGCGGTTATTCCCGTTTTGTAGATGCTTCTT